TGTTCTCGCTCTCTCTCTCTGTCAAATAAATAAAATCTTAAAAAAAAAAAAAAAAGAAGAAGACCGCTGGGAAGCCACCCACTGCTCTTCACTGTGTGTTTGGGTTAGTTTTGAGCACTTGGTAACGAAGATGCCGCTAACTACACTCGTGTGACCTACCTGCCACGTGCTGGGCCCTGCACTAAGTGCTTCACCCAACCTGTCACCTAGTCTGTCTCCTATAGTCCTCTCGAGCCCCAGGGTCTTACAGGTGGCAGAGTTGAGATTCTGGCTCAGAAAGGAACCCTCCCAAGCTCCATGCGCAGCCGAGGGGCTGTGGCTTCTGGAACCAGGGACACAGATCCCACCCCGTCTCCTCTCTCTTTCTGATCCTTGCTTCTTTCTGCTGGAATATTGGCTTCATTTTCTCAGATGAGTCTCCCTCGGATGTTCTTACTCTTGACTCACACTGTCACGAACACACAGGGCTGCCTCTTTGTCCTCACTCCCAAGTCAGAGAGTCCCGGGGAGGACTCTGATTGGCCCACTTAGGTCCCCGGCCCAGCTGTGAGACCAGGGGACAAGGGACCCAGCTGGATCTGCCTGTTGGGTGGGAGTGGGGTTAGGAGGATCAGGGCAGCTAAAATGCCTGGTGTCCGCCATAGGGTGGTAGGCCTCCCTCTTTCCAGGTGGGAAAGCCGGGGTTTGGATTCCCAAGATGACTAATGCTGGGTGCTCTTAGTTAGTGGTCCCAGCAGTGAGACTAGAGTCAGGACTGACTTAGAGCTCACGCTCCTAGTGCCATGCCGCACTGCCTCCCGCCAGGTAGTAGAGGGCCCCAGGTGAGGGCTCGGGGGTAGAAAAGGTGAACACTGTGCTTCAGGTCTTCTGCAACCATAGAGTCCACGTCGTGGGCACAGAGAAATAGAAAGTAAGGGCGTGAATGGTATAAACTATGGGAAGGATGGGCAGAGGGCTCTGGGTGTGTAGGAAGTGAAGGGGTTAACCGGGTGGGGGTGGGGAGCCAGGGTCCTGAGGACCCTTGCAGCAATGAAAGAGGTAAGCGTGTTCCAGGTGTTGTGGAGACTTTGCATTAGGCCTGGGGCTGGACAGGTGGGGACCGGTGTGAGGTCCAGAGAGGAGTCTAATTAAACCTTTTTTCTGAGTGCCGTTGCCCTTTTGCAAAGCAGAACTAGATGGATTTTTAATCTTTATTTCAGCATCTACGTCATGGGCTTGGTCCTGGAGTGGATTAAGAACAATGGCGGTGCAGGAACCATGGAGAAGCTCAGCACCATCAAATCGCAGATGATTTATGATGTTATTGATAATTCTCAAGGATTCTATGTGTAAGTTGATGGGCTTTTGCCTCACAGTTTTACTGCTTGTGAATTTTAAAAAAATGTGTATATGTCATGTGCCTTTGAGAAGTGGATGTATTACCCTTTCCTGAGCTGTTGGAAGTGCGGTGAACTGAAGAGTGCTGAGCTCCAGGATTACAGGGCAGGTGGGCCATTCCTTTGTGCATCCCCACCCGGGGAATCCCAGGGCGTGGTGATGTTTCTCACACCAAAGATCTGTCCTGGGAAATCTCAGTTCCTCCCTGTCTGCTTCCTCTATATGTCTCCTGGGGAAAAAGCACGTGTACTTGCTAGAAGCTCTCAGCTTTACCCAGGGACTCCACTGGGCCCCTCAGCCAGGTCACTTACCTTTTTTTTTAAGTTTCATTTATTTGAGAGAGAGAGAATCTCAAGCAGACTCCACTTTGAGCGCAGAGCCTGACTTGGGGCTCGATCCCATAACCCCAGGATCACAACCTGAGCCAAAATCAAGAGTGGGACCCTCAACCAACTGAGCCACCCAGGCGCCCCTAGGTCACTTACCTTTTTAGGAACATTCATTGCTTCCCTTATTACAGGACAAATGTTACCATCACAGGCCTGCCGTCTGTGAAGGGAATTGGCTATGGTATGAGGAGTCTTCTATGATTCGTGAATGTGTGTTGACCACGGGACGAACGCCTGGGAGGGGTACAGACCACGTATGGGTCTTGCCTTAGTCTCCTAGGACTGGTGGAACAAAAATGCAGTAACTTGGTGGCCTAACAGAAATCTGTTCGCACTCCTCTGAGGCCTGAAGTGCAAGGTGTCAGCTAGGCTTTGCTCCCTCAGAGACTCTAGGGAGGAATCCATTCTTTGTCTCTTCCAGTTTCTACTGGCTCCAGATATTTCTTGGCTTGTGGTGTTGTCACCCTAGTCTCTGGCCTCACCTTTGTTGTGTGTCTTCACTTCTGGTCATTGGATTTAGGGCCTACCCAGATCATCCAGGATGATTTATCTCAACTAGAGACCTGTAACTTAATGACATCTGCAAAGACCCTTTTTCCAAATAGGTCACATCCACAAGTTCTGGGGCTTAGGACATGGATATACCTTTTGGGGGGCTGCTGTCCAGTCCCCCACCATAGACCTCTCACCAAAATGCCTGCTTAGAAGCACCTGGTACAGTGCCTGGTACACGAGACACTTAATAGATGATGTTTTCATTTGCGTTTCCCTGCCTTCAAAGTGGCAGGTGTATGAGGCTTTATGCTGTGTGTGTGTGCGTGTGTGCATACACACATGTGTATATTTGTGTTTGTACACATTTGTACACACACATACTCCTTTACCAAGCCTTGGACCTCCTACTTAGTGACCATTACTCTTTGGGTTCAATGATAGTAACTGACTGATAGTAATGGGAGAATGTACATTCTTCTTTGACAATTCATGTGCCACATGGGGTGGACAAACCAATGCTTTGAGCCTAACTTAATACATCCCCATGACCACCCAAGGGTGGGGGGTGGGGGTGTACTTTCGTAGCAGATAGGATAAAGCAGCCTGTTACTGCTACCTCTGCCCTTAAAATGCTTGTTGCCTGTTCCTCTGAGTTCTTGGCGTGCAGTGGACCTCCGGCCACAGGCCCTGTGGGGAGTTGGGTTTGGCTGGACGCCTTAGCCTTTAGGCTCCTCTCCCACGTGCAGTCTGGAGGAAGGGGTGCACACTGCTTTCTGCGGGCTCTGGTTCTGTTTGACAGAGCCAAGTGCAGACTGGGGGCTTGGTAGATGGTCCAAGGAGTTCACAGCCAAGGTCTAAATAGTAGTTACAAGCTTGGAGCAATAAGATGATACGGCTTTGCCTGTAGGGGGTGTAGGGGTTTTTGGTTGTTTTTTTGTTTTGTTTTGTTTTTTGAATGAGCTTGAGGCTTGGGCATGAGTAGAGTTAGAGGAGGGCAAAAGTACTTTTAGGAATTTTTAGGAAGGCAGGGAATGGCCCCTGCAAAGGTACTGAGGAAAGAAAGTGTATTGTGTTTGGGGAGCAAAGAGTGGGTTGCCTGGAGGGGATGATTGTGCTGGATTAGAAGGAAGGTCTGGAAAGGTCTAAAAGACATGTTTAGTCCACCTGTTCAGTCCTCTGTTCACCTGTCCACCCATCTACCCATTCACCCACCCTTCTATCCATCATCCACCCATCGTACCCACCCATCTATCCGTATCCACCCCTGCACCCATTCATCCATCCATCCACCCACCCATCTACCCACGCACTCATCCATCCATCCATCATCCACTCACACACCCATCCATCTGTTCATCCATCCATCCATCCATCCATCCATCCATCCATATCCACCCATCCATCTGTTCATCCATCCATCCATCCATCCATCCATCCATCCAGTAAATGTTCCTGAGCACCTACTCTGGGCTAACTGTGTTCTAGGCCCTGGGTTACCCAGAAGAACGGGGTATCTTTTCTGACTCCCAAAGAGTGCTCAGAACCTGAATGTGAGTAAAAGCACTTGGCTATTGTGGAGGGGAGACCAAATTTTCTATTAGCTTTTGGCTCCATTTATTTCTCAGGAGATGGGTAGGCACAAAATGGAAGGACGGAAGGAATGATAATGCGTCTGGAAAACTCCAGGAATTAGAAACAAAACAAAGCATAGGAGGAACTCTGGGAATCCCTGGAATTCCTTTTCCCTCAAGCTTCTTAAACTCCAAGCACCCAACCTGGCATTTCCCAGAAGGCAGCGTGCTGCAGCCAACATGGCAGGTGGGTTGTCTCCTGGGAAATCAGGTCACCTCCCACCCAAAACTTCTCTTTTACTTATGGATGGCCTCGACCCAGAATTTTCATCTTCTAGAGTACACCTCTTTCTGGGAACTTCCATCCTCCCTGGGCTGCCCGCCCAGAAAATGTCACCCCGGTGCCTGACATTCCTACGGGACACTGTTATTGGAGTCAGTTCGCAGTTGGGTGCTTGCTAGCTCTTCCTGGGGTCACTTGGATTTTCAGGCAATTCTCCACTTTTCTTTCGATCTATAGAAATATTGCGCCAAAAGGGAGGTGAACAATTTTTTAAAGATCTTATTTATTTGAGAGAGAGAGAGAGAGTGTGCACAGAGGGAGAGGGAGAAGCAGACTCCCCACTGAGCAGGGAGCCCGATGCGGGACTCGATCCCAGGACCCTGGGATCATGACCTGTGCTGAAGGCAGACGCTTAACCGACTGAGCCACCCAGGCGCCCTGGGAGGTGAAAATTTTAAAGAGGAATACCAAGTAACCTAGAATTAGAATACTGAACACAGTTCTGGGCAGTTTCCTGGGGGCTGCACCGGAGAGCCTGGCAGGGATATTGAGACTAGATGAGACAGCCGCGAAGTCCCCGCCTTCATCCATGGCCTAACCACCCATGTGTCGCTGGTCGACCCTGACTTGAGCCCACATGGATAGTGCAGCATTCTTGGTAGAGAACCCCCCTCTGTGCCATTTATTAGTGTGTGACCTTGAGCCAATGACCTAACTGCTCCAGACTCCGTTTCCTTATCTGTACAGTGGGTGTAATGATGGTACGTACTTCTTATGACTGCCTTGAGGACTTAAGTGAAAATCCATGTGAATAAAGAATATAAAACAGAGCTTAAGAACACGGGCTCCGGCGTGGGTTAATTTGCATAAAGCATGAGAAGCATTACTTGGCATCTAGGGAGCATTCCTTAAGAGTTAGTTCCTAATATTATTTTGGGTTACTATGGAAAGCACTCAGACTGCTGAATTTTGATCTTCTAAAGGTGTCCACGTGATAGTGTCCATATCTAGACCTGAGGTCACCTTTCTTGCTAGCTTCATGTGGGGACCAGACCCTAGGAAAGAGGGGAGCGTGTGATGGGTCTAGCGATAACCCTGACATAAAAGGAAGCAAGCAGAGCCCTAGCGCTTTACAGATACAAACACTTTATTGTCAGCACAGCCTTGTGAAGCAGACATTAAGCCTATTTTCCAGAGGCACAGACAGGTTAAGGTGACAGCTGGGAAATGGGAGCAAGCCAGGATATGCACATGAGGAGCATCATGGGGGGCTGGTTCCAGGGTCTTTTTTTTAAGATTTTATTTATTTATTTGTCAGAGACAGAGCGAGAGAGACAGTACAAGCATGGGGAGCGGCAGGCAGAGGGAGGAGCAGACTCCCCGCCAAGCTGAGAGCCCGATGCGGGGCTCAATCCCAGGATCCTGGGATCATGACCTGAGCCGAAGGCAGACGCTTAAACGACTGAGTCACCCAGGGGCCCCCTGACCAGGGAACTTCTTTAGAAGAGCTTTCAGCAGGTCTCTCCACCTTCTGGTGTTCCCACACTCCATTCTCTCCTCTGTGTACTGTTGTTCTTTTTCTAAAATTCACATTTCATATTGTGGAAACCCGATTGTTCCTCATGGCTCAAGGACCCAGTCTAGTTCCCACTGGTGTATCTCCAGGGCCCCCCCACCGTCCAGGCCGTACCCCTGGCCAGGAAACCCAACACTCCAGTTCCTGGAGTTCTTGCTGGGGGCCCCCCAGGCTTTTGTAGACGCAGTTCTGCCAAGAATGGCCTTCCTTCTGGCTCATGCGTCCAAACCTTGCCACGTCCCTCAGACACGTTCCCACTTTCTCTCGGGCAGAATTCCTTGCTTGGCTCTGTGCTTCTTGCTGTTACAGACCTCTCACGTGGCATGTTAATTCCCTACACAGCTGTGTCCCTAGATTGGGAGCAGTTAATCCCCTTGAATCTTTGTTTCCCTCCCTGAGCCTTCTCCCAGAGACCTTCTTGGGTGCCATGTAAACATTTGTTGGGTGCCGACTCACGGCTCTCATGATACCATCCACTTTCATGGTAGGATGGGTCCATTTGGGGTGGGGCTGAACTGTAAATAAGTTGTTTAATTCTTCCTCCTTTTAATTTTTTTTTCTTACATTAGACGTGCTCTTTGCCATGCCACCTCTATAATTCGACCCTCCTGTGGGAGCAGGATATCAGGAGGGTAGCCAATGAATTTTTAATTTAAATGTCAGCCATGAAACCTACCACCTCGTGAAAGGGGGAGGTGTGCGGAATTCAGGCTCAAAGCCCATTACCAGATATTTGGTTTCCCTTCTTTTGCCTGTAGGTGCGCACTTGACTCTTATTAACTTTAGCAGGAATTATGTATGTGCCCTTAGGGGAGAGCATGACTTTTCATGGGGGCTTCCTCACACTGCTTTTATTTGCTCTTTAATTTTAATGAATCACACCCTGTACAAGTGTAAGAATAAAACAGGGCGAGCTTGAAAATGGGGAAGGGGTTATTACATATTTTACTCCTTCTTTTATTCTGGAATAGATGTCTGTTCTTCCATTTGTCTCCTTTGATTGTCCATGGAACATAATTTTGGCTGCTTATTTTTCAAATCGGAAACTGAAGTCAAAATACTAACCTTTCCTAGGTAAAAACTCACACGTCATTCGTTTTTGAGAGTTTGGATAAGCCTTATGCAAAATGTTGGGACCAAAAAGATGCATTTGTTGAATTTAACGGATACTTAGGTTGTTTTAATACGTTCCAGACACTGTTTTATTTAAAAAAATTTTTTAAAGATTTTATTTATTCATTTGACAGAGAGACACAGCGAGAGAGGGAACACAAGCAGGGGTAGACCCAAAGGGAGAGGGAGAAGCAGACTCCCTGCTTCGATGTGGGGCTCGATCCCAGGACCCTGGGATCATGACCTGAGCCGAAGGCAGACGCTTAACGACTGAGCCACCCAGGCGCCCCTCAGACACTGTTTTAAACTGTATCAGTTATCTGTTTTTGCATCATAGAACACACAAGACAGTTGTTAGAGCAACAACCATTTTTTTCGCTCATGACTTTGGGTCAGCAGGCTGGGCTGGGTTTAGCTGGATGGTTCTTCGGCGGCTCTCACCTGGGATGTTTATTCAATCAGAGTCAATGGTAATTCACCTGCAGCCAGTGGTCTGCAAGTGACCTCACTCACATGTCTGGGAGTTGGTGCTGGCTGTTGCCGGGCTTTTTTCCAGCAGGCTAGCTCGGGCTTGCCTACATGGCGGCCATGTTTTAAGAGGGCAGGTAGGGAGGCTGTATTCCCCTTGAGGCTTAGGCTTGGAAGTTGCATAGCGATCCTGATGCTGCAGTCTCTTGGTCAAAGCAAGTCGCAAGGCCAGCCAGATTCAAAAGGTGTAGAGAAGGGCGCCTGGGTGACTCAGTCGGTTAAGAGGCTGCCTTTGGCTCAGGTCATGATCTCGGGGTCCTGAGATCAGCAGGGAGTCTGCTTCTCTCTCTCCCTTTGCCCCTCCCCCTGCTTGTGCTCTCTCTCAAATAAATAAATAAATCTAAAAAAAAAATGGTGTGGAGAACTAGGACCAGCACATTTTTTTTTTTTTTATTTGCGAGAGAGAGAATGGGAGACAGAGACCATGAGAGGGAAGAGGGTCAGAGGGAGAAGCAGACTCCCCGCTGAGCAGGGAGCCCGATGCGGGACTCAATCCCGGGACTCCAGGATCATGACCTGAGCCGAAGGCAGTCACTTAACCAACTGAGCCACCCAGGCGCCCGGACCAGCACATTTTTTTCTCTAGGCTTGTAGAGAGAGGTTCACTCACGTCGCCGTGTGGTTGCCATTTATTGGAAGCTGCATATATGTCATGCCACTGAGCTATCACAGCTAGTCTGAAATGAAGGTATTAGTTCCATTATTCAGTAAGGAAACTGAGGCTCATGGAAATTAAGTACAAGCCATACAAGGGAATGCTAACTCACTGTTCCATATGCAAGAGTGGTCTCCTTAAGTAAAAATTATCAATGTCCTGCGGCAGATTTTTTTAAATCTTCTATTTGTATTGACAAAATATTTAAAGCGATTTTTCTGTTCATTTGTTAATGGTTGTCGCACATTTCAGAGAAGTAACTGGAATAATATGTTTTTCAGATGTCCAGTGGAGCCCAAGAGTAGAAGCAAGATGAATATTCCATTCCGCATTGGCAATGCCAAAGGAGACGATGCTTTAGAAAAAAGGTTTCTTGATAAAGCTCTTGAACTCAATATGATCTCCTTGAAAGGGCATAGGTGAGTGTACATCCAACCCAGAAGCTTATCAGAGAATTGGTTTAGCTTTTCTCTTCTTTCGTTCTTTCTTTCTTTTTATTTA